GGGGCCTTGGGGGGGGGGGGTTAGAATTAGACATAAAAATAAATAAATAATCTAATAAGATAGCTGAACATGCAACAATCACTAGAAAATATAAAATATCCTGGATCACTTGGATGGAGGTTGGGTGGGGTGTAGATCAGGTAGAACTCAGAGTAAAACCCAGTTACCTTGGTTAACAGTCCACCTTCCAGACGAAAGAACATAACTACTAGGAGCCACACCATTAGAGTACAACATATCTTCAAATTCCTTGTCTGTATAATGCCCAATGCCATTGATCCCGTACTCTGAGCAACTGCATTCCACATGGCTTCCTAACTCTAGGAGATTCTCCTCGAAGTTCAGAGAGGGATTCAATCCAAAATTATGATGGGGACAATCATGTTCCATGCTGTAATTAGATGACTCAGCTTTACTAGAACTTGATTTTGTCAATGATCTGCTCTCTAAAGAATAAAGACTGTTCTTAAAAGAATCCCAACTAACAGAAGAAGTGGAAGGCTGATCCAATGAGCATGCTTTTGGAGATCTGAGATCAATCTTTGCTTCACCAGATATAGACATGATAGAGTCAGAATCTCTAGTAAAGCTATTGCTATCTTTTGCAGATTCTGTATCCATTTCATATCCTCTTGCCAGTCCATCAATTTCTCCCATATTTAGGCATGGATAGACCTCATTTGCCCAGGGGTCAGAGTTACATTCAAGGATTCGAATCAAGCAGGTATGCTTTGGCAAAGGCATGTAAAGTTGTTCAGTTTGCAATTTCCTTTTCTTACTCAAGTCTACAAAGCTGGTCTGCTTCATTCTGTTGATGTCACCATTGTATGTCAAGCTAAAAGCAAAGCCAAATGTTGCAATGCTTTTGGCTTGCGTGAATAATTTCAGGAATGCATTTTCCCATTCAAAGGGTATAAAATTAATAACAGACTAAGCGCAATATGCTTTAAACATTTTTCTTATCCAGTAAGTGCGAAACACGACATCCACAGATATTGAGCATAATTTGATTACTGTGGATTTGATCAGAATAGATATTGAACATAATTTGACTACCATGGATTTTTGCAGAATAAGACCCATACAGTGTCTCTCCTTATTAAAAAGAATAGGAACAAATTGAATTTGTTGAAAGGCATAATATAATTCATAGTTAAAATTGCTGATGTATATCCCAAACTGATGTTGAACGGCAAGCTTCATTTAACATATTCATTTTCTTTATTTACAGCTAGATATGCCCACGTGGCCATGCCAAATGCAGGAATGCAATTATGTAAACAAACAACTCCAACTATGAAAGGGATTCTCTACAGAACAAATTCTCAATTTCCACAGATGACATATACCATTTTTCTATCATTCACCAATCACCATTGCAAAAATCTGAGGATTCCGCTAAAACTTTTAAAACTTCATACTAATACAAAGCAGGTTTTCTATGATGGAGAAAGTCGGTGGAAAGGGGAAAACAAATATACAGAAAATACAAAACACGGTTGGTATGTTTGGTACAAGTACTAAAGAGAACAATAGACAAGATTTTAGTTTCTTTTCTTCCTTGATATCGTTGAGTACAATACTGTATAAGAAAGGTTAAAACGGCAACAGCTTGCATGTACGCTCCTATACGGAATTCCAACAACTTCATCAGAGTCAGATGGAATAATTCTATTAAGGCTTCAACCATATTCATAAACACAAAATTATCACTTTTTCATTCTCTCCTGTCCCTGAATCCGCTCACATTTCACCAAAATAATGCAAAATTCACAATTTCATACAAATTGAAGTATTTTCTCCATCCAGGAGTGGGATCTATCAGTAATTTACTTACACTAGACATTATATACTGAAAAAAAAGTAAACGATTTGTATCTAACTTGAGTAAGCTATGTTCCACAAATTCTAAAAGAACATAACCCAAAATTAGCTTTTTAGTACTTTTTAAGTTTTAAGCAGAGCCAAACATGCAAACAGAACAATATGAAGCAGATGATAAACATGACATCAAGCAGATTGAAAAGAGAACAGTAAATGAAAAATCCAGAGCTAAAACCTGTTAATTTCAACGGGGCTGTTGACGTCTTCTGGCATCATGATCTAAAAAACTAGATTTCAAGTCACTTGAACTGAAGTAAACAAGAAAAACCCGTGAGAACTGAAATAAGGATCAAATACAGTAGAAACCACTGAGATTTAAGAGGGGGGTGAATGATCATCTCTCAAGATATAGTCCGTTATTGTTATCCACGATTCAATCAATCCATCCACTTTTAATTTCGTCCTTCTACAAAACTCAATTATTTTTAGTTCCACGCGCGTCGTCGTGCATTGGGTGACACATAATGGATAAGTTTAGTCCCTCACTGTCGTCCCACTTAGAACATAGACATATAGTTGTTGGATGTGTCACTCTCCTCTAGGGATGAGCCGCACGACAATAAAAAAATCTTTGAAAATCTCATGTGAGAAAAGTGTATATCGAAATGTCAAACTCGATGTTCGTGTAACAAAACTCATATATGAGTCAATAAAAAACTACAACATTTATATATCAAATAAGTACATGTCATATTTATATCACGTAACGTAACAGTCGTAGTAAGCTACCATGAATTGCATTACTTTTTTTTTTTGGTCTGTTTTTATTGGATAATGAAAATATTTGAATATTGATTTAAACAAGGGCTTCCTGTGTCCCGTGTCTCTATGTAATAAAGGATAGAAAAGAAAGGAAATGATAGGAAAAAGAAAAATAATTTATTTAATATTATTATACTTTCGAAGGTTTGAGCATCTCACAACCTCCTTGGAATAAGCCAAATACCAACAATAGTTAATCATGAATTAAAATATTAAGAAGTGTCTTATAAAATTTAATTTACCATCAACATTTGTAAGAATGTGATGGATAACATATAACATTACTTATGAAGTGTTCTATAGCATAACATGGCAAGACATTGGAATGAAAACATGCTCTTGCAAGTTCATTTCATTGTCCCCATTCATTCAAGTGAGATAATGATATAATTATTAAATTTTGTAATTAATTAATTTATTTTTAAAAATTAAATTATTCAAATATATTTGGTAAATTAAGATTTTTATTGTTTATTATATTCCTTAAATAATTTTAGTTGTTATTTTCTATTAGAATTAACGAAATTTCGTGGAATTTTCTATTTAAAGTATTGAATTCTTAAAAAAAATAAAATTAAATGGTGAAATTTCCCAACCCGAATATGTGATAAGCAGGTAATCTCTATCCCGTCCAAACGGGCCCCACGAGTATCGATTTTGATAATTTTTTTTTTGACATCCCTAGCAAGACAAGAGATTTGTCAATTTAACGTGATATACTTGTGTTTGAAAGTTGTTTATAAACGATTTAAATTGTAGATATGCAAGTGTGGATAATTAAATAATATTTGCTGATTTAAAGAATATGTAGACAAAAAGTAATCGATCAATTGTAAATAGTTAATAAAGACTAAAATTCTAATGCCAATGAAGGTAATATTGGATCCATGTATAACTCAACTAGGGAGTGATTGAAACATTTGCAAATGCCTTCCACCATAGAAGTCATATTCTTGATAAAAGTGTGTTTGATGCGCAAAATAGTGTAACAAGGATCTCTTGAAAAATCATTTAATAATTTGTTAGTTCATGAAATTAATATAGTTTAGAAGACATTTCATTGATTGTTGTAGCCTCTACTTTCACAAAATGACGAAAACTGAATTACACTCTCTAAGACCTGAAAGTATGCAATGAATCCTCAAAACTTGAAATGTTGACTAGGAAAGATCCCATTCCACGAGGTTTGATCCCATGTAACCCGAGATACGTGGACAAGTGGTCCAGCCACTGTTTCGTCTATGGATACAGGATAGCACACAGGACAATTGTAGAACAATCAATCACCGAATATCATTTTAACGTTAGTTCTCCGACAAAAATTACAGGCTGGTTATATGCGTTCGTTATTCTTGGAGGTGATTTATAAAAAGGGTTATGTAAGGGTTGATTTTTGATATATTTGTTTGATCAGTTTTAATCTGCAAGAGCGTGATCAAAACACAATTTATATGAATGCAAATTTGGACAGAGTTTCGGTATAAAGATTACGCAAAACAAGGATTAAGAAAGAGTAGAAATAGAGAATAATCCAAGAAGAGACGTTATTTCTTTCCTTAAGACAAATTGCCCCGTTACGATATTCACGGTGAATGACACTTGTCTCTCAAGATACAATGGATTCACAACTTGTGGTAACAGAATTTTAAACCACAAGAAATCGAAAAACTTTTGACAAAATTTCCTCTCTATAAAGGAAATGTATGAAATGCTATAGAATTAGAAAGAAGAGAATCGCATGAGGAGAATGAATGTTCAATGCAATTGGTGTACCCAAAATCATGTTCATAGGGTTCTATTTATAGATGTAAAAAGAGTGCAAATGAAATAGTGTGGGCCAAAACATGCATCCTTTCAAAAAAGTTGCAACACTTGGCCAAAACCTGCACTTTTCGAAAAGTTGCAACACTTTATTTCTTCCAACTTTGGTCCGCAATTTCTCATTCATCCGGAATTGGTTTCGAGATTCCAAATATACCACGACGATCTACTCAACGAGGAGAATAAGTTGGTTTATTTACTTTTATAATTTGACCATTGGATCAAGTCTGAATATTTGGTCGAAATTGACACGTAGTCACCTTTTCATTTTTATTTTTTACACACCTTTTTATTTTTCAATTTTTACACACGTTTTCATTTAATATTTGAACCAATTCCTAAAATCCCCCACATGAATGGAAATTCGGGTACGTATATGCAAATGCGATGATATGATGCAATGTAGAGAGGGTGCGAAAAAATACTGCATCAGGAATGGTGGCTTCTAGCATTGAACCTCCCTTAGTGAAATACTATTGGACGTACTTGGCTAATTGGTGAACCATAGGTCTTGAACCACTAAGCTTTTGGTGTAAATCAAGACAACAGTATTCACACAGATATTTTCCCTATTCTGTACTTAGTTCTCATGACTTGGTTCATTTTGGCTCTGAACCCTTCTTGGTTTCATAAGTGTTTAAAAAATTCAAACCTTAAACAATTTTTATCGAAACAGCCCTACTTTACACTTACATAGGTGACCTCCTATTAAGAGTATTCTGCCCTACTCCACTTGACTTAATCAAGATATTGGAATCACTAAAAGATAATCTTAGCCTCTATTTACCCTGCAGAAGGCACTTTAGTATCATAGGAATGAGTTATGAATTCTAATTTCCTAAGATCTTCATGGAATTTTCACAACTTAGTTGTCCCTTTGAACTAAGATCTTGGGATCTCCAGTCAACAAGGTAGGGTTACCATTGCAAAAACTCTTATGTAGTAGGCTTTAATCCCATTCCTCTCGATAGGCAACGCATTTGATCTCTAGGCAAACTTTTCGTCAGTGGATCTCCAATATTCTCCTTTGATTTCACATAATCTATGGAGATAACACCATTTGAGATCAGTTGCTTAATGGTGTTGTGTCTACGACGAATATGTCTAGACTTACCATTATACATGTTGCTTCGAGCCCTTCCAATTGTTGATTGACTATCACAATGTATACTTATCGCAAGTACTGGCTT